ACTGAAACATCACAGTCCTTTGATTAAGGATGGAAAATTAATGAACTTGTTTTAAAATACTGCTGTGTAACTTTCAAAGGCCTAGATTATAAAAATTATTAATGTGGACTCAAATATTAACTGTTGACTTTCATATTACATAAACACTTGTTGAAAAGGTAAGCCTGTGGCTAAGTGTCCTTTTCTAATCAAACCTGACTGTGTTTTTAAAACTTTTTTTTTCCCCCAACACATTACAGTGTGTCCTTAGCTTTCTTGTAGACTTATTTTGGAAGAAAAAGTTTCTTAGCTTCAGGATTAGAAAATAATTTCACTTTATTTGCAAATTCTTTGTTAAGTTACTTGCAAGAAAACTCCTCTTCCATAGTATAAAACATGAATCACCCTGGAACATGATACCATTTTTTTGATATCCTTGTTGCAATCCAATTTCAGTTTGGGAAAGAATGCCAAATTCTGTTGCTTTCTATGTCAAATTTTGAGGCTAACACGAAGACAGTTAACAAAATCATTCATTTATACCAAAAATCATTTCCCTTTTGGAAGTCAGTTACTCAAAGCTTCTGGGCCTTTCTACTAGGATTTAACATGAATTATACCAACATCTAAGCCCATTTAGGAGTTCTTCAGTGAGAGTATAGAGTTCAAATTTCTTTTGGGGGGCTGGCAGAGAAGTCATTGGTCATAATTAAGGATTTTTTTGTATGCTTGTCATTAGTATCTCTGTCTTCTTTCAGTTTAATACAGCCCTGATAGTGCCACTGTGGGCAGCTGTGTGCAAAGCCATATCAATAAAAGCAATACATACAAGCCAAAGAAATAGCACGGGCTGTCACATTTGAGCTGTGTCTTTGAAAGAATTTCTTCAGTACAGCATGCTTAATTTGTTTGTTTTTGTCTTAAAAGGTGTCACGCTGGGAGCAAATTAGAATAGGTAAGCCAGAAGCAGAACTGTGTTTTGGGCAAGAAAACAGCATTTTGGTGGTTCAGCTCTGCTATCTCCCTCAACCCAGTGAAGGGTCTCAGTGGTAGCACAGCTCATTTGCACTTAACCGCATCCACATGAGAGGGATTAAACCAGGATATAGAAAAGCACCTCTCACCCAAGATGGTGAAAAAAAAGAAAAAGAAAAAAGGGGGGGAGGACAGACTTGTTCCTTGGGTGACTGCATTGGTACTACCAGGCTGCATGCTCCTTTTAGGACAGAACAGGTCAGTGAGCTTGTTTGTGCCATGAAATGTGTGAAGGTAGTAACGTACAATTGCATTAGTGGCCACAGTGCTCATTCTGACTTTATAGCTGTTGTGCTATATGTTTTCAGGATTGTCTGAGAAAAATGGGGATTAAACTAGTAAGTGTAATTCAGCTTGAAGTAAGCACAGATGCAAGGCACAGAGATACCCTGTTTGTTCCAGTTCACACAGTAGTCGATAGCATTATGGCAACTGTTATGTGAAGAAAAGATGAAATTCTGCAATATTGGAGATGCGTGCAATAGAGAAAAATGTGCAATATTAGGAGTGTGCATATTTGCTGGATGTTTTGGAATGTCAAACCTAAATAAGCCCCAGTTGAGCCAGAACCCTTTCAAAATGTTAGGTAAGAGAAAGAACCTCTGTCTGGATCTTCACCCATGAGCATATTTCAACATGATGAACTATGGGGAATTTACAGTTCTCTGTGCCTTGTGTCACAGAAGGAAAGCTTCCCCATCAGGGTTTCAGCTGCATTTGTGCTTTGGGCAATGAAAGTACTAAAGCAATTATCAAGGAAGAGCCAATTTGCTCTAAATTTACGGTTCCTTTACCCTTTTTTTCTTGTGAATTTTTCTTTCCCTGCCAATAATGTCAGAAGGTATCAAATTCAAAGAAACAGACAAAGAGGGAGAGAGAGGCCTACGAAGTACAAGGCTATTGTAACTTTCAACAAGTTTATAGTATGCAGAAGTGTTGCTTACCATACCCTGCAATATTCATTGCCACTTCTAGGAGATCAGTGCAAGACGGATAAAAGTAAATATGTTTTTGCACAGCGGGTAGGGATCTTCCAGAATTCATTGCCACAGGAGGCTGGGTTGAGACAGTACAAGCGGATTCAAAAAGATATTAGAGACATTCATAGGCAAGAGGTCTAAATACTAAGTAGATGCAAAAGAGAACAAGAGATGAGCCCTCCAACATCCCCAGTAGAATGATTGTGGATGCCGGTAGAGTACAGGGAAAATGGACCACAGAAACTGGCCCCACTCACGTGCTTTCCTTAAACAGCCGCTGCCCTTGTCGCCGACCGCAGCGGTGTTCTGGCCTGGCTGCATGAGTGTGTCGTGTTCTTAGCTCGCTTCTGCCCAACTAATGAATTGTTTAGACCAGAATGTCTCAAAGCTTCCCAGCAGTGCAGGGAAAATTTGATTTTGTGGCTGTGACAGCGTTACTGCTTTAGGCACCATCCTCCCTGAGAGAGGTGAGAGAGCTGTGCCCGGCCACCATGATGTGTTGACTGTGGGCTGGCTGCCCAGGGATTGCTCTGCTGCTGCCACTGAGCCAGCACAAGGTAGCTTAATATTAACTGTTAATTAATTAGCAGCCTCCCTGACACCCAGATGTAGATCTGCCTCTCTCTAAGCCGTGATTTTTCTGCCACCATCATTTTTGCAACCATAGCTAACCACTCTGTATAAGACTAGAGTTGGTATATAACAATGTGACAAAGCTCCCTGAATAATTTATATCTAAGGCTCCATTTCATAGTTATTTGTTATCCTATGGGTTTTCCCCTAAGATATGCCATCTAATTTCAATTTTAAAAGTAAGTTCGATAAATTACCACTGCACAAAGGTTGCTTTAACATGCTATTTATGAAGGTAATGGTGCACATTGTAGCAGAAGTGCTTCAGAGTTTCCACTCCTGGGGTTACAGATTCACAGTAAGCTGGTAAGTGGGGAACAATGTCGAGCTTGCTAGAAAATTGAACAAATCCACCTTAACGTGTCAAAGCAAATCACACCTTAATGTTGTGAACTCTGTAGGGCAATGTTTCTGCAACAGCATGGACAGCTAGATTCCCTGCTCAAATTAAGCAGAAAGGAAGTGTGTATGCCGTGTGTCATGTATATTTAGATACCAGTTGCTGAAAGTTCACTTTGGAAGAGTATTGAGACATATTTACGGTAGGTATAAGTGAGGCCCATTACTCTGACAGTTCTTAATCCTTGATTTCTTATTATGTGAATCTTTTTATATTCCCTGAGTCTATGATTTCTTAAAAAAATTATAACTTTAGAGAATACACAGTCTGGGTAACAAGTTCAACAATGATTTAGCAAGGTGTCATCCAAATATTACTAAAACATGTATAAAACTCTGTTATCTTCCAGGAGAAACATGTTATTGTATTTTTTACTTCAAAAAGTAATATAAATTATATAGCTGTAAGTGCATTTCAGGAAAATTCACTTTGTTTACGTGTCTTACCTAACTTAAAAGAAAATTGTGTCATTGCAGTCATTAGGACTATTTTTCTGTGCGTGAGGCCATATTTTGGAAAAATGTCTCTCCTTAGGTTTAATTCTTACTCTTAACACTTATTATATTTATTAGATTTTAAACACATCCTTAAATTATGAAATTAAGTATTTCTTGAGTAAGACTAATGACTAATTCGGCATCTGCTGATTTTATAAGAGCGCTTTATATTTTGTTTTACTACTTAGTCATACAACTGCATATTTCAATCGGAAAATATAATGTAACATTCTTCTACCAAATAAATGTGCAAATCTCGAACTGCTTCTGACTGAAATTACTTAAGTAGTGTACCGAAAAAGAAAGGGATTGATATTTGGGTTATAGCGTACAAAGCTACCAGATAAAAGTAATGTAGCAGTGAATCCCCAGGCTGTATATATGTTGCTTTTGGGACTAGTATCTAAGGACTGGAGATGCTCCATCTGTTTGTGAGATAATCAGGATTCAGTAAGCCAAATTTTCATTGCCAGTAACGGACCTTTCTTTTTGGTGATTTCCCTCATGTAAATTTAAAAAGTAGATCATGTTACATGGAAGTAAAGTCTGCATACCAGCAATAAATACATCCTGCTGTCTGTTAGGCAGATCTCATGAACTGTTGAGCTTCTTGAGAGTCTTTAGGAAAGAGTTAGGTATCACTTGCCAGTGGGAAGGTATATGGGAATCTGCAAGACGGTCAGTTCCCTTCTCTGTGGTGCCCTTAACTTGCCTGGGGGTGTTTTGTTGTCGGCCTTTGATGCGAGTTCATGAGGCACAAGAGGAAAGGTTTCACAAAAGAAGGAAATCCAGGATTTTAAGTCAAATCTTATATTGCTTGTGATAACATGCGTAACAAGCAATTATTTGAGGGAGGGATGCAGTAAGGGTGGAAAAGGGGATGGGCTGTGACACAAGGCAGCAACAGAAACAAATTTAGATTGTGTGTAAGGTGTACAACTTTGAGACTGATATGCCTTCTTCAGGAAAAACACTCAGAGCATGCAAGTGCTCTTGTGAATGTGAATAGCCTAAATAATTTTAGAATTCATTTAGAAATCCCTTACATCTACCTCAGCCTGCTTGCATGATTTCTGACACCTGTCAGCCACACAGGACCATATTGCTCATCACACAAATGGAAAGCTGTTATCGCTTAGCTTGCCAAGCATCTTCCCGAACTGTGGGCCCTGAAACCTCTCGAGCACTACATGTTAGTTTAGGGAAGATCTTGGCCTGTTCCAATTCCATTCTGTTTCCTTTTTTTTATTTTTCTTCTTTTCCCATCTTATTCTTTCACTTTCTTTTGTAGTTCCCATCCGGGATGGTGAAGTTGAAATAGTGACAGTTCATTATGTCCAGTAACTCAAACAATCATTGAATATTCTTTGATGGCAGCTCACTATTCCTAAGTTTCTGATGCTCCTGTTTCTGGTGTATATGTTTCATATACATGCTTCACGTATCTGATTACATGCATTGCTTTGTATCCAACAGACCAGAACCAGTACTGTGGACAAAGGATGGTGGAGAACTACCAGATCCAGAGAGAATGGTTGTCAACGGCAGGGTCCTAAGCATCAGCTTCCTAAACAAAACAGACAATGGCACATACCGATGTGAAGCAAAAAATCCTATTGGACGAAACAGCACAGAATATGTCCTCATAGTACATGGTGAGTATGTTCTGGTTAGTTTTTTTGGTGCATGTTATGCATATGTAGCATTTCAGGAAAATACATTTGGTTGTTTATGATCATTAGCAAAAGAATAGCAAGAAAAAGCTGGAAGTATAATTGCACTTTTATTGATGCTATCATCTAGTTGTGGGGAGGATGTTTACTTCCTTTTATTGGCATGCCTCTCTTCATACAGTTTAAACAAAATATATTTGCTTATGTTGTGAACTTTCTGCAAAGCAAGCACCTGTAAAAATGTTTTGCAGTATGTCAGTATTGTTTTATAAATACTTGCCTCAGGCACACACTGTTCAGATAAAGCTGGTTACAAAAGGATATACGGAGGGAAATATGAAAATACCAGACAGACAGGTATTTGAGGGTGGGGTGGTTTTTTTTGTTTTTTATAGACCACCAAAGACAGAATATCACATACCTTTCTTCACAGAAATTATAGCCTGCTACTGAGAAAAATCAGCTTATACAAGTTAGCTGATTGTCATCTGGCCTATCATTACAGTCAGTCCTCAAAAATATGTCATGTCCTAAATTCATGTTACTGCTTCTAATAAAATTGAAAAATAGGAATGCTCACATTAAATTACAATCGATTTGTTTTCCTTAATTAATTAGGTGACTATGTGGCACATGAAAAGAATAGCAGGCTTTTTCATTAAACATGAAATAGATTAATATAACTTAAGTATAGGAGAAACTATAATACAAAGTTAGTATTTGGCTTTAATGCATCTTTGCAATATGGATCTAGCAGCCTCAAAACATAATGTTCTCTTATCACTGATACATACGTGGTAATTCCTGGAAAATTATGAGTTCTGTAATTTGAATTTTAACCTAAGTGAAAAGAGAGGTGAAAGCTTCACTGAGTGTTCCACCATCATGATGGTCCTTTTTTTTCCTCTACTTTTTTAGAAAAAATGTAACTTCTTATTAAAATGACAAAATAAAATGAAACAATCTAGTACAAATTATAGTCTTTAAATAAACATGGGAACTATGTAGATTTTATTTGCTCATGATTAATTCAGGTATAACAAATACATGTTTCTTTGGTGTTTGCAAGCTCTCAAAAATGTTTTTCACTGAAGGTTTAACCTGCCTTTAGGTATGTGGCAGAAAACTTTTGATAAGTGCTACTTTCAGCTTTCAGTAATGAGATATTTTTTGGCACTGTTGATGAAATGTCATTTATCAAAAGAACCCCTTAGATCACTTTTCATTTTTCTTAAAGTTCACTATTAGTTTATGTAGGATTAGTGGCACAAGTAAGGAGGAAGTCTTTGCATGAGGAACACAGAGCCTGTACTGCTGCGTGAGTATCTCTGTATTAAAGACAAACAGAAAAACTAAACCCTCTAACCTCTACTTACATTGTTTGCTACAAAAAAAAAAAAAAAAAGTCTTTTACATCCCAGAGGTGGTGGTGTATTGGTTGTTGGCTGCAGGCACCAAGTGCACACTGCCTTTGATAAGGTAACGGCTTCTGCACTTACCAAATGTTGAAACTTCTGTTGTTTGTGCTTTCTGCCCAATTTATTTATGTGACTATTTCTGAAAACATGGACTTTTATAATGGCAGATCTTTTCGTCAGTGGTGACTTTGCAATATACCTCTATCGAAGAATATTTCACGATCCCCTGTGTCTTTTGCATAGTGGCATGCCCCCTGTTGATCTGATTATCTTGCAACGACTACATGGCAGTCTGTAAAATCATTCATTATCAGGAAGGCATTCTGTTATGTTTGGCAGCACATTAAGCATGTTATCAGGTTTAGCTTGCACATTGCTGACCTTTTCTGTTATGAGTACCACAGTATTCCTAATTGCATTTCTGCAATTCCAGTGTTAAAACTAGCGAAGGTAAATGTCAGGTGCTTCCGAGGTTTCTGAAACAATGAGAGTAGTGTGACAGAGTATGTGATGATGTTTAGTGCTTAACAACTTACTGGATTTCAGAGATGTTAAGTTTATTTTAAGTACAGAAGAAACCGACGCAATTATTTTATCAAGCGTAATACAATCAGTTGTATAGATCAATTTAGGCAGAGTCTTATCCCTTAATTTAGCTCACTGCACTCACAAATGTCTCTAATGAAACATAATCCTCCCCAAATTATACAATATTCTCTCTCTCTGGGGGCTAGCAAACCTATTTTTTATCATTTTATGAGATGCATTCTTCTATTTAATGGAGGATGTATTTTTTTCTATATCTTCCTAAATATATCCTTTGATTTCTTATCCCTTCCCTACGCCTAATGCGTTGATGTAATTTGTTTTGTCCTACTCCTTCATTAGAGCTGATTTACCTCATAAGCATGCCTTCTTACCTTGAGTGTTAGGTTTCTAATACAAGTACATGCCAGATTTAACATAAGGGGAGGTATGTTCACAAAGGTGTGGGAGAGGAGAGAGGAGAAATCTACCTGAGGAGAGAATTTCTTCACAAAAGATTCTTTTAAATTGCAAGTCAAGGTAGTAAGGTCTAGGAAAACTGACTTACGAGATCGGTAAGGAGTAAGGCCTAAGTGTCCTGAGTGCTAGTAACCATTGCCTTAATGGATCCTCTGGCAGTCCATCTCCACAGTTGTTAAACAACTAAGTTTTTCAAAACTCTTGAGTCCAGAGGAGTTGCAGAGATGGAGATAAAGAATGATAACTGCATGTCCAAGTATAGAGAGATACTGTTGATGATTCAATTTTTCCAGGAGAGCTTGTGTGAGAAGGCAGGGGACATCAATGGAAGCTATCCTCTACAGAGGTGTGTAACTTGATTCAGAGCTTTTCTTTTCTTGTCCATACTGTGATTTCCTCTACCTATTTTTCCTTTTTTTTCACTTCTACTTCAACAGATATTCTGTCTTTCTGTTTATTAAGGTTGCAGAAGTTTCATCTGGCTTCTATTCCTTTTTTCCCCCGATGAAATCCCACCTCTCAGTGAGACTCAGTCTACTAATTCTCTCCGTTTCTGAAGTTATCTTCCTAACTCAGAAGAGATTTAGGCAGCTTTAGCATCAATAGAAGCTTGCCTAAAAATAGAAGTTATAGTTTATCATAATTAGGAATTAAGGGTAAGCAAAGTATTTATACATATTAATTATACAAACGAAGCAAAGAATGTCTCATGCCTTTAACTGGACCAACCTAGACAGAAAATTATAGGGAAAAGTGGTATTTTTTCCACTGTAAATGATGAGGTAATACTGTTTTGATGTTAAGTGATGGCAGTGGAAATAAATATTGCTATAAGCAGATGAATGGCAATCTGTCTAATATAATTAGTATCTGATAACATAAAAAGTCTTTTTAGATTTGTAGTGTAATTAAAGAAATCAAACTTCAGAGATATTGAATATATTTGAATCAGGTAAAAAGCATGGGCTATTAAATATGCTCCTGCTGCTTTGCTGAATCAATACGGCTGCTACTCTCATTTTTCTTAACTTTTATTATTAATAATAAATGTCAAGAAAACACTTCATGAAGCAGGAAGGTGGGCAGAAAGTCGGAGTTTATAGGCAGCAGTACAAAGGCAAGACATGTAGTTTGCTCAAACATTTGTCTCATGCAGTAACAAAGGCACAAGCTTTCATGCCTGTAGCTGTTGTCATTTCAGTATTCTAATTGGCGAGCTTAGTGCTTTAGAAGTGCACATTCTGGCTAGATATATTACACCCTTTCTTTGGTAATGGGCCCCAGGCAGTTTTCCCTCTCTTCCAATTTATTAAGAATTCTTGTTTACCTTTGTCCAAATACTAGTCATTAATCATCAGTAAACAGAGCTAACTGTCAAACACATGATGCTCAACCCAAAAACATAGATTCTACTTGCAAAGCTTAGGTGATAACTGCATTGATTTAGCTGGAGATGAGAAAGGAGGTGGTCCATCATCATCAAACACAGCTGTTATGTATGTAGCAGTAGTTCATAACCTCTGGATGTCACTGCTGAAGACTTAGTTCAACATCATATTGAGTGGGTGACATAAGTCCACATCACCGGGAAATCTTAATGGAAGCAGCAGCATCTGATAATTTCCAGACCTACTGGAAATAAAGTACCTTGGTGAAATATCCTGATTTGCCAATCTAAAGACATGCATTCAGTTAATTGAAATATTCAGAACTATAATGTGTCGCATATCAACTATCTATCAAAGCAATATGGAAATTAACATGAATCAGAGCTGTGGATGGTCAACACAGTTCTTACTGCCACATTTATACATATAGTAGAAAGCAATTGAGCCAGTAACTCAGTATCTCTGGAGAATAAAAAGTGATATAACATATTCCCTTGGCTTCAGCCTCTCAGTTATTTTGTATTTTTTTCTCGGGCAAGCTATTTTTTGCAACCAAAGGCAACTGAAAGACCAAGTTACATCTTCGTTAATTTTTTGAAATGTACTTCCAAACAGAAGATCTCTTACAAAGTGTAAGACCAAAGGTCCCACTGCACCTTTCCTTTGGATTGTAATGTGTTTATCTTCCACCTGCTTGTCCAGTCCCACTTCAAAACATTTATCATTCTATGTTCTTTCACAATTACCCGTGGCAACAAGTTTCTGAATTGAATTATGTGCTTTGTGGGAAAAGTATTCTCTTTTGTTTGTTTAAGCGTGCTACTTGATCTCTTCGCTTCCCAACTTTCCAATCTATTTGGCCTCTTTTGCTGTTTGTGCTGTAAGTATGGAAAATCTCACTGTGATGAGTGTTCACATTTGTATTCTGATGGCATTGTCTCATTCCTCTTACCATCGCTGCTATAGTTTCTTTCAAATCCCAGTACATCTTCTGTTATAAATTCTCCCACTTAGGCCAGTGGCTTGTATCCTCTTCTGAGTCCCACAGCTGTTGTTATTTCTATAATGTTCTCATTTCCACCTTCATTTTGCCATTTTCCAGACTGATCGCTGCATTGCAGTTAAAATCACTTTTATTTTCATGCTGCTTCCCTTCAATAGATTCTCAAGT